ATATCTGCTTGCAGATCTCCTTTCAAGGGAAGATAGGCTAATAAATCCTTCGAACTTCGACATTATCATCAATATTGTAGGCAGAAATATAAGGAATATCTTCGGAGCAATCCCAGGAAGAAAACCTTGAATGCGTGACTTTATGAATTTCACTTCGATGATCGGTTTTAAGAAGGGAAACGCTTTCTCAATGCTTTCTATATTAGCAAGGGATTGTACGATTGCTATAGGAATCATGAAAAAGAAAGTGAGAAAAAAGAATGCAACACCAACAAGAAGCCTCCGGATTGTGAGAAAAACAAATGGAATTGCCAGGTTTTCCCAGTACACATCTCGTGGTTCCGGAGCCCACTCGGTCAACCATGTAGTTGGGTTCCTAGATTGTTGAGTTTGTGCACAAACAGCAGCACCCCATCGAATTTTGAACGAAACAAATGCTGCTGGTATTATCTATTTCAGGTTGCATCTACTCTGTTACCCCAAAGGCCAAGGAAACCAGTCTTGATTGAAGGTCTCTTTGAGGGATTCCTTTGATAATTATTTTGATAGTGGTCGAGCCAGTTCTGGATTTTCTTGCTCTCATTCACCAATTCTGAAAGCTTGTTAGCATTATAAACAACCCGCTGACTGAGATAGTGATCTGGATGGTTGACAAGAAAGAAGTGTTCGACAAGATCGGTAACTGATTCATGTGGATCCGGTTGGACATTCCTAACCAGTACTGTGAACTGATCTGAACGTCGTTGCTCGGATGCAAGGAAATGTAATCGCATGGCTGCCACGATCTCGTACTCTCTTTTCAGAACGTAGCATGTCCAAAACGTAAAGGCATAAGCCATTACCAAATGCGTCCAAAACCTATTCGATCCAATCGGAATATTTGATATAGAGAGCTTATCGATATCGCTGTATGTTAAACCCGAATGCTCCAATGTATTATTGGTCCAGTTAACCGGAATCATTACCGTAAATGCTAAGATTGCGACCGGAACAAATATTTTCAGCCCCAACAAGTAAATCCCTAAGTAAACAACAGAATCCAATCCGGCATGGTTTATCAGCTCAGGCTCCGGCATTCGGAGAGCGGCCGGCATCCAGTTGAGGAACCTGATATACAACCTCCAGTCAAAATTCACAAACCTGCTCCCAAACGCACCACCATTCACCAATGGACTGCTCCTTAAACCCTTGAGATACCATTTCGGGAAGTAAACTCGATCATTCACTGGTTGAATACGAAGAATCGCAAATGCCAGAAGGAAAGCAAATGCTGTCATAATATTGATAGCTGCTGCAACTCCGATATCGCTTAAAGTAGCCATGTTTTTTTTTTTTGCTTCAACGAAGAACAATGATCACTTTCCTTTTCCCTTCCAACTTCTTAACAACGAAGCAAACACTAAAGCTCGTCGTCAGAAGCAGGCGAACGCTAGGAAAAGTCTATCATTCTGATAAAGAAATATACCAGTGCGATTTGCACATTCCTTCTTTGCTTTTCGTCTGAAATGGTATATATATATAGGTCTTCTCTCCAACAATATTGTGAATGACACAATGCACACTTTACGATCCCATACCCTTATATTGAGTTGGCGCAAGGCATAAAAAACCCTTACATTATACTTCACCATGTTCTTTTAGATACTTAACCTTATTTAACAGTAACTATAAACTTAAACCAAGATTACATTTCATCACAACCAAACTTCGAGTTCCAACCTCCCTCACTTCGAGTTCCAACCTCCCTCAACTCTAAGCCATCTTTAAGCAGCTAATTTTGTGGGATTGCCACATTCTGTGATGGATTTGAACCACAATTGTATTAACGTGGTTCTTTCGATGCATTAGGTCAACATTGCAGCTATGGATGGGCATGGAACCTGATCCGATCGGGTTGGGTCGGTTTTTTTTAATTTGGGTTTGGGTCGAGTTTTTTTAAGGTGGTGTTCAGGTCGGGTTGGATTTAGGTTTAGGGTGAAAAAACCCGACCCGACTCGACCTATAATTTTTTTACCTTATATATTTAGGAATAATTACAACAATACCCATTTATATATTATTTTTTTCAATTAAATCATTGTTTTTATTGAATAAAAATAATATTTTTTATCATTTAGGGTCGAGTTTAGATTTTCTCTCAAAAAATCGGGTTGAGTTTGGGTCGGGTGGAGGATACATATTATTCGGGCTAAATCAAGTCGGATGAAGGATATAAAATTTTCGAATTGAGTCGGATTGATCGAAACTCGACCCAAACCAACCTATATCCATTTCGCTACGATGTAGTTATCATGTTGCATTCTTTTTTATAGTTTTAGAGATACTCTTTCGTAAGCTATAATTCTGTATATCAAAGCTTCTGAAGGAATCCTTCCATTAATCAAGACTTCTGTGTGATATTAAAATCTATAATTGTCAGCATATATGTATAATATTATTATAAAGTATGACACAAAATTGAGTGACTAATTATATTACACGTGTCATATATATTAAAGTATCATGAAATTAAAATGTAAATATCATAAGTTGTATTTATAATTTGATGAGAGACATAATTATAAATGCTTAAAAAACATGTCTAATATTCAGTCTATATAAAGAGGTTAATGGTCCCAATAAATATGTTAAATTGTATTACTCTTGTTATTGTCAGAGAATTTTTACGGTTAGAGAAATCATATCTTCTTGAAAGATCACAACCAAAAAAATACTTAAGGATTTCAACCTATTAATTAATTTAGGCACGCTTTCACATCTAATATTTTATTCTTGATGATTTGACATAATTAAATTTCGAGTTTTAATTTCATATTTATTACGACTTGATTCTATAATTTTGAAGCTCCATATCATCTTGACGATCACAATCCATTGGCAAGACTATTGGCATGCTTACGAGATCTACTATGGTTAAATCTATCAGTAGACAACTGTATTTATTTGTCTGTCATGCCAACTGAGTAGCCCTCATGATCCTAGGCCCGGCACACACACATTATAAGGGTCAATATATAAACTCTTGTGCAGAAGAGAAGGGGATTGGACCTTTTAAACTATTCATTTTCTTCATTACACTTTTTTTCAACCTTTTTTTTTCACATTCCTCACCAAAAAAACCACTAACCGTGACTTTTCATTTAAACTTGAAGGGGTGAATCGTCCATAACTAATATATAACATATTGTTGCCGTCAATTATTTTGAATCCGTATTTATAATTTTTCTTAAATTATAAAAAATATTTTATTTTTCTCAACAAAGTCCATTTTGTTAAAAACAAGCATGTCTAAATACAAGTACAAAACAAAAACAACCACGTTAAATTTTTATTCACCTTCTCCTTTTTTCACAGCATGATGAATCAGGGAAAAAGATAATTTTTATTCTATGAATTAAAATAAGTTTTGATGATGAAAGAGAATTTATATGTATGTTATATGTAACCTAATTCTTTTTTCTAAAAGAAAATTTAAATAAAAATAATTTGTTGCTTTACTAGTAATATTTCAAGTTTTTGTCATATTAAGATTTATTTTGTAGGTTAATATATTACGAATTATTAAAAAAAAATGAAGGCTTTGAGCTAAATATTTTCCACCAAATGAGTGGTAATATGAAGTTTTCAGGTTGAATCAAACGAAATTTGAAAATACAGCGAATGAAGAAAAATTTCAATCTCAACACAACATATTTAAAATTACAAGATTGTGACACGTGTCACATAACGGATAAAACTAACGGTTTGTCACGGCTTGACCTATTTTGAGTAATGGAATGAAACGTTAGGCATCAAACTAGAACGAAATAAACGTTAGACACTAAACTGAAAAAACATTGGACACCTTTTGTATATTTAAGTCTTTGTGGATTGAATCTTTATTTACATTATGTCGTCGAGCTAGTGCATGAAATATTATGTCATCAAGATAGTGCTTGAAAGTAAAAACAGTACTAATAGACATCATTAAAATATGATTTTATCATATCTCAGTCGACATGTTATCATCCAGCTCATATGATAACCAATTTCTTTCAACGGAAAAGGACGAGTTTGGAACATATGAACAGTCGAATGATCATTTTATAACTTTTAATAGTCAGGAAACTTTTAATACTCTACCCTTTGTTTTCTTTATGTATTTATATCATGTTATTTTGAGTATTATGCAGTGTGCATTTTAATTATCTCGTATTACATTTAAATTGTATTTCAATTTATTTTATATTTTTTATAGATCATAATGATTCAATGTTAAATTTAATTTCTATAATTGTGTCTATAATATTATCAAATTAAATATTTTTTCAAAAATTTTAACTTGAATTTTAAAGTGAAGCGAGGAAATATTTTATTGAGAATAAAATTGTCTCTATTTTTCTCGGGCGAATAGAAAGCATCTTAACATTACACAAATCTTAGGCCTTTTATCGGAATATACCATTTAAAAAAATAATTCTTGAATTAACATTCAATTTTATTAATTTCCAAAACGGTATCATTTTCTGCCCTATAAAACTTCATGTATCTTTATCCTATATGATAAATAAGTTTTCGATTCAATAAAAGATGCTATTAAACAAACACTCATTTCGAAGAGTTTTATTAAAATAATTTTATAAATAGATAAAACTTTACTTATGGTTTTTTAGTAGTTAAATATTTTACGGTGATTTATTTGTCGTAATAATCACATCTATTCGTATTTATTTATTATTTGAGATTTTTAGATTAATTTTTCGCTTTTTTATTGTATGATCCTTATATAATTATAAAAGACTAGTTTTATGTTGATTATAAAAAAATATCTTAATTATGTGTTAAATTTACGAATATAATTATAAATTCTTAATCTAATATTAGATATTTTTTCCTTTTTAATAATATTAACTACTTTTATTTATAAATAAAATTATCTTTTAAAAGATTATATTTAAGTAGAAAAAAAAATTCCAAGTCTCAATTTTCACCACTCGAGCGGTCGAGCTGCTAAGTGCTAACACTGTTTCTCTCAGCCGTCCCCTTCTTCCACTTCTTATCGCTCTCTCTCTCACACACACACACCCCGACCATTGCCTGATCTCACTCTCAGCACTCACTTTTTCCATCTTATTTGCGTTTAAAATGCCAATCAACAGAGACCCTTCTACTCCCCCGCCCATGATCGGCAAGATCGGTCCCTACACTGTCTTCGTTACCCCACCTTCTACCCCTACACCCACTGACCCACCACTTTTTCACTCTCCCGTTAAGGCCGTGGCGCCTCCTCCGGTCCAGCCGCCACCCCAACAGTTTCACGAGTCTTACGTTGCCTCCGATTCTGATGGATCCATCCGGGGTTTTTTTAAAAATGCCGCATTTAAGGTCCAAAATGGTATCTGCTTTTCCTCTCCACCTTTTATTTTCTTTTTTAAGAGAGAGAGAGAGAGAGAGAATCTGTTTTTTTAGTCCAAAAATGAAATTGGTTTTTATCTATCTATAAGCTTTCCATTGACATGGCGAAATAGTTACAATTTTATTATTTCCGTACTTTTCTCGTTTGTTTGATAAGAAACAGAAAAGGCATTAGTATTAGCATCTGTTCTTGTTGATGTTTTGCAGCTCATTCAAGCTTGGACGACCATTTAGCTCGCTGGTTTGGCTTAAATCAGTCCAAGTATCAGTGGGCACTGGATGATTATTATGAGAACAAGGGATTGGTAAGTGTAAGTAAATTACTTTAAATGGTACACTTCCAGTGGAAATTTAAACTTTTAGATCATTACTATTAGCTCCTTTAGTTGGTCATTATGGCTAGATTTGGAAAAAAACAGAGTATTTCTGAAGTTACTCGTGAAGTAGGTTAAAAGCAATTACTTCTTTGTTTCGGTAATCAACGGACTCTAAAAATTTGGACTCTTTTATGCTTCAATTCTCGTGGTATCTCTAAATATAGTCTAAAGTTGTTTCTTTGATCTTAGTTAAGGGCACATGGTGTCCTGATTCGATTCCACCCCTGGATTAAATCATATGTATGAGATTGTCTGTAGCTTCTAGCATTTCAGACATTGGCGGATCCAGAAATACTTTTTAGGGTGGGCACAAATATATTAACATCCCAAATTTTTTATGTGGGTGGGTACAAATAAAATCTCTGGGTGGGCACAATTAGTAAAATGGATAACTAACATAAAGAAATTCAGGTTTCAAGCGGGCACTTGCCCATCCTAGACCAAACATGAATCTGCCACTGATTTCGGAAATGAATAAACCTTTGGCATCTTCAGGTGTTCCATAGGAACTGATTTTATATGGAATCCAAATGTGGTAAATGGGTAACATTGTTCTAGATGGAAGTACTGATGTGAAAAACACATCTTATACATCTAAAATATTCCAAATAGTTCTGTATACCTAACTTTTGGGTCATAGATCTAGTTTTGTCAGTCTTTCATCTAAAGAATAAAACTTGATTTCTCAGCTCGATGGAATTAGTCTTTAGGGATTAGTTTTGAAACACTTGAATATTGTTAAAATGAATGTTTTTAGACGCACAATGATACTCTGCAAATGCAGTATACATTATAAATTATAGTCAGTTTATTATCGAGTTAAAATTTAATAACATCCATCAAGAACCCCTTATAGTTTTTATTTAACTTGTAAGGGAGACTTTCATGATGCTGTAGTTAAGTCATGTGGTTGGAATTACTTTATGAAAGCTAGCATTGGTGCATGAATTTTTGTGAATGTCATGGATTATACACTAAACTTGACACGAACTGATTTAATTACTAATCCTCAAGTCAAAGACTCAAATATTAAGGATTCATCCTATTTGAAATCCATGCCGTTGGACAAAGGAAAATACTCGTTCTGATTTTTTCCTTCTTTGAGTTGAATTTATTGTGCTTTTGTTTCTTGCGCCTGTAGGATTCTTATGTTCAGACTATTCTATCTTCAATTCAATTTTTTACTCGACACCTGAGGCAAAGACTCTAATTCTCCCGTCCAATAATCGCCTGGAAGGTTATCTTGAGCTAACCCCAAGATGTATCACCTTTTGCAGTTTTGCTGAAGTTCTTAACCACTTCAGTTTAAATTCACACTATTTAATCAAGTTTATTCGCAACCTGTTACACACTTGATTTTTCCAAAACTGGTTCCTATGTTTGACACACATATATAGAAGGTATGACCCTCCAAATATATGTAAAATCTAAGAAAAACACTGAGCATACTCAAGTCAAACACATACCTTCATATTAGCATAGTCCAGAACAATGAGGAGCTTGTAGTCATTATCTGTCAGATTCTGTAAATGTGACAGAATTTCTTTTAATCAAAATGGAGCAAGATACCTCTGATTTTGAAACATGTTGGAAGTGATGAACTTTCTCATTATCAAGGTTACTTACACATTTCACCCAATCAGTTAATGAACTTATTTGTATCTAGTAAGGTTGTAATACCCGTTGTCCCAACTCTTTATTTTTCTTGAATTACCTTCTCCAACTCCCATGTTTGATGCATACCCGAACAGGGGTAGAAGCATATAACCCTTCAATGACCTTTCAAATTCATGGAAAAACTAGGAAAATTGAACATACTCATCTGTTGGTCACTTTGCAGGTTTGAAAACTGTGTGATTAGACAGTTGGAGAAGGCAGAATCTCAAATTTTAGACACCTGGCCGACACTGATTTGTAAATGAATAATAAATAGATAAAAAATTAGATAAGATTATAAAACGGAACTAGCCTTTTTATCAAGGAAAAAACATGGAACTAACCCAAAATTTTATTGCAGATAAACTATTCAAGAGATTATGGAAGTTCGGCCAAACCTTTTTGGTTTAATGATAAAATTAGCCTGCAACGTTTGTCTAAATGGTCACTTTAGCCTATGTTCTTTTTCTTTTTTAGCATTTTAACCCCCAGTGTTTTAATTTTTGGTCAAAATATCCTCCGTTGGATTGAAACCGTTAGTTGACTATGGCCAACTTATGTTGTTGATGTGGCATTTTCACATGTGCGTGATTAGTGATTGTAACATGTCTCGTCACCCAAAGTGATGACATGGCATGTGCCATGTCACCAATTAAGCACACGTGAAAATGTTACATTAGCAACATGCGTTGACTGTTAGTCAACTAATGGTTTTCATCCAACTTGAGCTATTTCGACCAAAAATTGAAATATTAGAGGCTAAAATGTTCCCAAAAAATAGGGGCCAAAGTGACCATTTGGGCAAACGTCGGGTTAATTTTGTCATTATGTCATTTTTTTCTCAGACTATATGGAAGTCTTAGCGCGTTGGCCCTTGAGTGCACCTTGCACCCGTGACAACACTGATTAAAATAAGATATACTATGTTAAAATGAGATATTGCAATATTCTTACGGTTTTTACTGATAACCTGTATAATATTGTATTTTGAGAAGGGGCTTCATTATCGAACCCTGTATTACCCATTGTTTTATTTTCACTTCGAATCTTATTAAAAATAACAGCTAAGCAGATTATATATGTTCAAAAGATGTCTTATTGGAGTCCCAGTTTTTACCAAATTATGCCATGGCAAGGGACCATTTATAACTTTTGGAGTTGCTTCAGTCACGTGAAAGTCTGTGTAAATCTCCAGGCTTTTCTTGTTGTATCAACATTTTTTTTCTGGGGTAATGTACAGAAGTTCAAATTTGATCTGTGGTTTATGTATTTTATCTTGTTTTCGGGAAGTTTTTTAGTTATATTAAAGATCAACACCATGGATTTGGAAATAACTTTTGGAGTTGCAAATGTAGTTATTTCACTTGTGTTAAGTTTACTTTCCATTTTCATTACCATGACTAGATGCATATGATGCTTACACATTTCAAAAAAAAATTTACGGCAGGAAAAGGCAGGTGTAAAAGTGAAAGAAATATCAAGCAAAATACAAAGCGTGTAGCATACTTGTTCAATTGAGAATGCATGTTGTGTACCTTTTTGTAGTATATCTATATGCTTAATGCATGGAATGGCCAAAAAGACATTAAGATTCTTGAAGCGATCTTTGTTGGGATCAGGGCTTTTTTGTTTACTAGGCTAGGAGTTGTGTCAAATACAAATTCCTGCGTTGAGATTACTATTAACAGCAGAGGGCATATACTCTATGATTGTGTTGTTAGTTATTTAAAGCAGTAATTTTTTTAACATCAGTTTCTCCCACTAATGGATTTCCCCCCATTAAGCATGCTGATAAATGAGATGTCAAGTGATGGGTGGTTTAAGATCAATAATTGGGTACTTCATCCTATGTTTGCATGGGTAGTATTAGATAAACTGCGACCCTCTTATAAGGATTCAGTGAATAAAACAAAGAGAAGTGCTTTGTCATTTCCATAAAGGATTTTTGTACCTTTTCCAGACTTTCTACACACAAACAACTCTTCCGACGATTAAAGCTTCTGGAATAAGGCGCTTCCAGAGGATACCTTCCGTCAACCAAATTATCCAGGGTTAATTTCTCAGGGTTTCACGCCCTCTTACTAGTTACTTATGATATTTGATAGGCTCACGAATTCTATATAGTTAAATTTATTATCAGTCGATCGTATTTATTTTATCTGTTAGTTTATTAGTAGTAATTATAATCTTTGGTGTAACACCAACGCTAAAGTTCTTTAAATCAACTTTCGTGTTATATTAAGAAATCTTATTCCTAGAGAACTCGTTTCCCACGAAGCCAAATGACATTTACTTTGCTCCTCTCAAAATCACTAATTATGATTTTTCGTCTAAACCGAAAAGGGTAAACAGTATATAACTGCCATAACTTAAATTTACTATTAACAAGGGTATAATTGCATATTATCTTTTTCTTGGGCCCCTAGAAGCTTGGAGTATCTAAATCTTTGTATAGGAATAAATTGGAAAGCAGCTTCTTGATGTCCTATGCCGGCTGCATGATTGTGTGAAGCCACCTCTGACGTATTGGTCTGCACACAATTTGGCCATGTCTGCCACTTGGCAGGATTCAACCCTCTAATCCCTATGCTATTCCCACCTCATATCTTCTTGTTAGAATGTCAATATAATTGGTTAATATTTGTTATTAGATATTTACACTTCAGTTAGTTTGTTAACAAGTTGTTAATGGACTATATAAGCCTAATGATGAGGGTTGTTCGTCATTGACACAAATGGCGAGGGTTGTTCAGGAGCTAGCACGCGTCCTCTATCCTTGTGACCCAAGTTTGGCTCCAGCCGAACTCTTTCATATAATATTCTTTGTAATTTATTTTCCCTTCAATTTACGTGTTATCATTTGATTAAATAAAAAAATATTTTATTAAATACATTAAAATTAATAAAAAAATTAAATCGGGTGGTAATATGTGTCACTAATGACACGTGTCATGATCATATGTTAACACATGTCAAATCTTAATTGAATGATTAATTTATTAGATTAAATTTAAATCAGGATCAAATTTATAGAGTATATAAATATTAAAGACTAAATGTAGAATTATGCCAATTTTTTAACTGTCATATCAATATTTTTGTCAATTGACCAGTAGCTTGATTGATAATAATTAAATTATTAAGTGATGTGATTGAACAAAAGTAAAAGATTAGTGATAAAAGTAAATAGACTAAATAGTTAAATGATCAATGATATAATATATCCTTTGTTTTGCTACACCATGACCATGCATATCCCATCACCTGTGGTTACTGTGATGACAGCGCTACTTTCCTAAATAGCTGAGTTCACCACCCATTATCCCCCTTTCAGATTTCTCTGTGCCTAACCATAAACTGCCAACTTTCAGGCTTTAGCATAACTATAAATAAATTTTGGAAGATAATTGAAAATTGGGGAGTTATGCAGTGCGACGGGTTAAGACGTGGTTAAAAATAATAGAAATAAATAAAAATTATAATATTTAGATTGAAAGTGACTTAAAATATTACATTCTTCGTAATATTTTTAGTTAATTTGTCAATTGAGATTGAACGTAATATAAAATATCATCGAGTTAATGCTTAAACGTAATTTAAAATGTTATATTGTTTGTAATATTTAGATTGAACGTAAATTAAAATGACATTGAGTTAATGCTTGAAGCATTATGTCGTTGATTCATTACTTATAAGCAATGGCGGTACCGGTAGACATCATTAAAATATGATTTTATCATATCCTAATCAACAAGTTAATATTTTTACAAAATATTATGAACTTGTAACTTATGAATGGTGAGTGACCATTTGGAACTGTTAATAGTCAGTGACTCAATAAAATACGCCCTATAATTATATATCATTTTGTAAGTATCGTCCTATAATTTAGAGATCATTTGTGCTTTACTTAATTATTTTTCATAAAACAAACATAAGAAATCGTGAAAAAATATAAATCATTTTCTATGAAATAAACATACCTTTAAATTGAATAATATTTAAACTCCAAAAATGTAAATTTCAAATTAAGCCTCGCCCACCTTATATATGATTGGGGTCCGCTTACTCCATTTCATTTATTCTTTAACGCTTCCATCATTAAAATGAAATGTTCCACTGTACGCATAGTATTGCAGTCGTTATAATTGTCAATGATGAGGTTTGTATTAATGAATGGGCATTTGCCGGGTTATGTTTGGTTGTTAGTATTTTTTAATTTAATTATTGATATTTAATCTATTGATCGATTATTTTGGATCGAGTTTTATATAGACACTCATAACAGGGGTGACATTTCCAACCTAATTTATTTAATTCATAAACGCTAATATTCAAACTTTTGATCTTACTTAAGGGATTTTATCAACCAAGTTTAAGTGACTAATTTGGGAAGTAGATGTCATCTTATGGGTTAAGGATACTAAATAAAATAAAATATATATATATATTTTAAATCAATCTCGTTATATAGAGAAATTGTTAAAAAAAATAAAAAAATTAATATAATCCCTGTAAAAACTCTCTATAACTCTAGCATACAAAAAATAAAGGAACAATATGAGTATGATAAAATTATTAGGAGTCTTATTTTCTTAATTAACTACACTCAATTATATATTACTTATACTATTAATAGACTGAATAGATATATCCATAATTCACGTTGCAAACATTGAAACATCCTTAGGCTTTTACTTAAGTATATCAATGGTACAATATTTTACGGTTGTAATTTATAGGACACTATGCAATAAATATTATTTAGGGTTGTTATTTTATACGATATTATGCAATAATTATAATTTAGGATTGTAATTTAGGGTACAATAATTTTTATATCATTTTCCTCTTTCTCTTTAATTTTCATTTAGCCAACGAGAGCATTGAATGATATTATTATTATTTAAACATTTAAAATATAAATTATATACTTAATGAAGAAATCAACCAGTGGTAAACTTTTTTTTTTCTAATCTAATTTTTATTTAAATATTTTGATATCATATTTCTCTCTCTCTCTTTGAGTTTTATTTAGACAACCAGAGCATCGATCCAACAGTCGATGATTATTAATTTTCTTGTTTTTTAATACCGTGTCATTTGTTTTTTTCTTGAGTTTTTATTTTAATTTTGAATAAGAATCATTGTCATTGTGACACGTTATTTTTTTTCTCTTGTGGCACACACTTTCTATACTTTTGTGACATGATTCTTATGGCTTTTGGTACGTTTTTCGTATACTTTTTGAGGTCATTTTGACGATCGCAAAAAGATGCGCACGATAATTATTTTCTGATTGGTTTGTCAGTAGTCACGTATAGTCATATCACTATTTAATAAAATGTTATTTGCTAATACAATCATAATTATTTAATGAAACAATCTGTCAAATAATATGGTTCGCTCGCCACTCCTTTATAACTTCATAAAACGTATCGTTTGACAGAGACAAGGAATTTCTATTAAGGTTACTGAGTTATTTTGATGTTAGTTGTCATTCTCAAGGAAATTTTTCATTTTTTTCGTATATTTGAATTTAATATTTTTGTTTTTTGTATGAGGATAAAGCCAACTATAAAGGGGAGCACTTTGAGCGACTGCTCAGGTCCATTTTTATAAGCCTCAAAATTTTCAATCTACTTTCTATTGTTATAATTGAGGTCTTTAATTTTTTATTTTTATTTTTTTTATAATTGAAGCCCTTAGTTTTTGTATTTTTATTTTTTTCCTTTATAATTGAGATCCCTAATTTTTAATTTTCACTTTCTACATTAATAATCGAGATTCAATGCCCTATTTTTTAATCTCATTTTTTAATTTTATAGTTGAGGCCCTGATTTTTTCATTCTCACTTTCTATCTTTATAATTGAAGCTCCTAATTTATTTCAATCTCACTTTTTACCTTTATAATTGAGACCTCTAATTTTTTCAATTTCACTTTTTACTTTTATAATATAGATCCCTAATTTAATCATTTTTCTAAGATTTCTTAATGTTAAATTAAATTAATTTTTCAAAGTAATATGATATACTTTCATTTTACGAGGTTCTATTTTTTAGTTTCGCTCATAACTACGAAATTGTTTGAAATTACTCTGTACAAGTATTTTTTATGACTATTGTCCTCATTTTCCTCTCTTATTTAAATACATTATAATTTTAATTCATTCTAATATTTTATTAATAAAATTCAGTTATCATCGATAAAAAAATATTTAAAATATAATAACGTATACTTTAATCTATAGATATAAAAATACCGTGCATCTGGCCGAAAAGAAAAAGTCTGAGATATAATTAAT